AGACCCTTCATCCTTTTCTGATGAAGGGTCTAGGCCCGAAACGTCAGCCTCTCTGCTCCTATGATGCTGCTTGGCCTGCTGTGTTCATCCAGCCCTGCACCTTGTTGTCTCGGATTCTCCAGCATCTGCAGTTCCTACTATCTCTGACTGATATATGTTGCTGCTTAGAAGGCTCACTCCCTCTTTCAGTGTTGGTTCCAAGGATGGATCAGAGAAAATCAATGTGCAATACATTAAAAAATATGTCCACCGATTAGCCATCAATATTAAAAAAAAAGAATCTAAACATACGAGGTAATTTATTTAAGTCTGAGATAGGGAGAAATATCTCAGCCAGAGAATGCAAACCTGTGGAACTCAATACAAACAGCAGGCTGTAGGAAAGGTTTGTCAGATATTGCCCAGTATGGAGGATTTTAACTATGAAAAAAGATTGGATAGACTGGGATAACAAGGTGTAGAGCTGGATGAACACAGCAGGCCAAGCAGCATCAGAGGAGCAGGAAGGCTGACGTTTCGGGTCTAGACCCTTCTTCAGAAATCGGGGAGGGGAAGGGGATTCTGAAATAAATAGGGAGAGAGTGGGAGGCGGATAGAAGATGGATAGAGGAGAAGATAGGTGGAGAGGAGACAGACAGGTCAAAGAGGCGGGGATGGGGCCAGTAAAGGTGAGTGTAGGTGGGGAGTTAGGGAGGGGATAGGTCAGTCCAGGGAGGACGGACAGGTCAAGGAGGTGGGATGAGGTTAGCAGGTAGGAGATGGGGGTGCAGCTTGAGGTGGGAGGAGTGGATAGGTGGGAGGAAGGACAGGTTAGGGAGGCGGGAACGAGCTGGGCTGGTTTTGGGATGCGGTCGGGGGAGGGGAGATTTTGAAGCTTGTGAAGTCCACATTGATACCATTGGGCTGCAGGGTTCCCAAGTGAAATATGAGGCGCTGTTCCTGCAACCTTCGAGTGGCATCGTTGTGGCAGTGCAGGAGGCCCAGGATGGACATGTTGTCCAATGAGTGAAAGGGGGAGTTGAAATGGTTCGCGACTGGGAGGTGCAGTTGTTTGTTGCGAACCAAGCGTAGGTGTTCTGCAAAGTGGTCCCCAAGCCTCCACTTGGTTTCCCCAATGTAGAGGAGGCCACATCAGGAATAGCAGATACAGTATACCAGATGTGCAGGTGAACATCTGTTTGATGTGGAAGGTCTTCTTGGGGCCTGGGATGGGGGTGAGGGGGGAGGTGTAGGGTCAGGTGTAGCACTTCCTGCGGTTGCAGGGAAAAGTGCCGGGTGTGGTGGGGCTGGAGGGGAGTGTGGAGCGGACAAGGGAGTCCCAGAGAGAGCGGTCCCTCTGGAAAGCAGATAAGGATGGGGAGGGAAAAATGTCTTTGGTAGTGAGGTCGGATTGCAGATGGCGGAAGTGTCGGAGGATGATGCATTGGATTCGGAGGTTGGTGGGGTGGTACGTGAGGACGAGGGGGATTCTTTTTTGGTTGTTATTGCGGGGACGTGGTGTGAGGGATGAGTTGCGGGAAATGCGGGAGACACGATCGAGGGCATTCTTGACCACTGAGTGGGGGAAGTTGCGTTCCTTGAAAAACGAGGACATCTGAGATGTACGGGAGTGGACTGACTCATCCTGGGAACAGGTGTGGCGGAGGCGAAGGAATTGGGAATAGGGGATGGCGTTTTTGCAGGAAGGTGGGTGGGAGGAGGTGTATTCTAGGTAGCTGTGGGAGTCGGTGGGCTTGAAATGGATATCGGTTTCTAGGGGTTGCCCGAGGTGGAAACAGAGAGGTCCAGGAAGGAGAGAGAGGTATTAGAGATGGTCCAGGTGAACTTCAGGTTGGGTTGGAAGGTGTTGGTGAATTGGATGAACTGTTCGAGCTCCTCATGGGTGCATGAGGCAGCACCGATACAGTCATCAATGTAATGGAAGAAGAGGTGGGGTTTAGGGCCAGTGTAGCTACGGAAGAGGGATTGTTCCACGTAACCTACAAAGAGGCAGGCATAGCTTGGGCCCATGCGGGTACCCATGGCCACCCCTTTTGTCTGTAGGAAGTGGGAGGAATTGAAAGAGAAGTTGTTGAGGGTGAGATCGAGTTCAGCTAATTGGATGAGGGTGTCAGTGGAGGGGGACTGGTCGGGCCTGCGGGACAGGAAGAAGCGGAGGGCCTTTAGGCCATCTGTATGGGGAATGCAGGTGTATAGGGACTGGACGTCCACGGTAAAGATGAGGTGTTGGGGACCGGGGAATTGGAAGTTCTGGAGGAGGTGGAGGGCGTGGGTGGTGTCATGGACGTAGGTAGGGAATTCCTGGACCAAAGGGGGAGAAAATGGAGTCAAAATAGGTGGGGCAGGAGCAGGCGGAGACAATGGGTCAACCAGGGTAGTCAGGTTTGTGGATTTTGGGAAGGAGATAGAAGCGGGCGGTGCGGGGTTGGGGAACGATGAGGTTGGAGGCTGTGGGTGGGAGGTCACGAGGTGATGAGGTTGTGGATGGTTTGGGAGATGATGGTTTGGTGCTCGGGGGTGGGGTCATGATCAAGGGGGCGGTAGGAGGTGGTGTCGGAGAGTTGGCGCCTGGCCTCGGCGATTTAGAGGTCAATGCGCCATACTACAACTGCGCCTCCCTTGTCCGCGGGTTTTATGGTGAGGTTGGGATTGGAGCAGAAGGCTGCACGTTCTGCGGGGGAGAGGTTGAGGCGATTGATGTCTCGACGGCAGTTGGAGATGAAGAGGTCGAGGGAGGGGACGAGGCCTTGAGGTGGTGTCCAGGAGGAGGGGGTGTGTTGCAGGCGGGAGAAGGGGTCAGTAGGGGGAGGGTTAGGCTCACAGTTAAAGAAGTAAGCGCAGAGGCAGAGGCGGCAGAAAAACTGTTCAACATCCAAGTGTGAGTGGTATTCGTTGATGTGTGGGTGGAGGGGGACAAAGGTGAGCACTTTACTGAGGACTGACCATTCGTCCTCAGTAAGGGGGAGGTCTGGGGGGATGGTGAAGACTCGGCAGGGCTGGGTGCTACTGTCTCCTCTGGAGCTGCTGGCTGTGGAGGCGATGGGTGGAGCGACGTTGGTGTCGGTGGTGGGCCATGCGGCGTCGGCTGTAGTGGGCGTAGTTGCGTCCAAAAACAGAGCCAAATGGTCTTCTACTGTCCCTATTCTCCTACATAACTGGAAGTCATTACAGCGTACACATCATTTGCTTCTTCTAAGGACAGCTGAACAAAATGGTTGCGTGTTGTGCAAGCCGTTAATATCATGCCACTGCCTGCACACTCTGTGTCCCATTTCATTCAACATCTCATGTACACCTGGTGGTGCAGCACCTCCCTGCGCCCACATTTACAGGCTCACGTCTACGGAATGGGGGTAAAGCCCACGATTCTCTGAATCTAAGACCACCATGCTACACCCTGGGGCAGAAGAGTATGCTTCGAAATTCACAAAATGGGAAACACAAGGAGGATTTCACTTCTTTATTAATACACGATGGAAAGATTAACAATGTTAATCTGAATAAATAAAAATGAAATTAAAAACATGTGCAGGTAATAAGGGGAGACAATACAAAAGGTTCAGGAGGAAACAGAAGTTCATTTTGTTCCTAACAAGAGCAATATCCAAATGGTCAACTTTGAACTCTTGATGTGAAACTTTAAATGATGCCATGTTCTCAGCCCAAACGAAGACTCAGACAGCTAGCCCCGTACCATGAACATACACTTGCAGAATTGTCCAAAATATTAAGAGACTGTGTGCTTGAGGGGGGGATTCGGCGAGGGGCTTATCCTGTAATTACAGGGGTGTCACAGCCAAATATACGCAAGGACAGATTGACAGGAATGGCCCAGGCTCAGCAGGGGACCAATGTGACAGAGGCCATTGACCTGACTTCAGAGATGGTTGCCCAGCCTGCCTGTCGCATATGACACCTCACACTGCACACCCCCACATCCAAAACTGAGCTGCACACTTCCTTTGTACTCATTAGTCTGCGGGTGTCACAGGTCAAAGGTCAAGGTGGAGGATTTGCCAGAATTCAAAGTGCCAGGAGCTACAAAAGTGTTGGGGATGGGGATGGGGATGGGTTGCATAGATCAGGTTGGGGGAGGCACCAGCCTAGTGGTAATGTCACTGAAAGAGTAATCCTGGGGGCTACAGAATTAAATCCCACTGAGGCAGATGAAAAAATATGATTTCCCCCTTCCAACGCTATTTTGATTTAGTTCCCGTCCTTCTCTCCCTAAACACCCACCTTTCACATTTTTCAAGTAAACATTGCCCTCATCAGGCTTTATAAAAACCTAAAGAACTGCGGACGCTCTGAATCAGAAACAAAAACAGAAACTGCATGTGGAAATTCCAAGCTACCATCGCTGGACCCGAAACGATAACTCTGATTTCTCTCCACAGATGCTGCCAGACCTGTTGAGCTTTTCCAGCAACTTCTGTTTTTGTTCCTCATCAGGCATTGTTAAAGTTTCACCAGCCACAGGGGTACTTTCCTGATGGTGGAAAGTATAAACTTTTAGCACAATGGTGTCTTTTTACTGTACACACACACACACAACAGGTGATGCAGAGAAAACATAACCACTGCTGCCTTTGGGGGCAGGCGTAGTGTGGGGGAATTCTTAAAAAAAAAATCGGAGATTGAGAGATTCTCCTCTTTCAAGGGTCTGGCTCTGAGCTAGGACAGACCATTTACTGAGGAGTTATTTAGACCCTGTTTGCAGTCACAAAGAGAAGGAAAAAAGGATCACGTTGGCTTTTCCCTGGTACGTAGATGAATAGGCGATGTGATTGAGGTGCCAATAAAAAAGGTGAAGAAAGGATTTGGCAGGCCGAAAGGGGGAAACTTGCTCGGCTGGAGTCCAGAACAAGGGGCGGTGGCGGCTTTTTAAGGGGGTAATGTCATGACAACTTGCTCACACAAAAAAATAACGGAGTTGAGTGGACATCTGGCTCACTCTAAAAATACTGCAGATGCTGGAGATCAATTGAAAAAAAATGGCAAGACCAAGATGAATAGATCTTTTAAGGTTTTAATTTTATGACTGATGTATTTATTTTGTTGGGGGAAGGGTTGAAAGGATATGGAACCAAGGTGGGTAAATGGGAGCGACTGGCAATTTGGAGAGTAGAATGGCTGAGGAGCTGAATCACCTCTTCCCTGGTGACACATCTCTCACTAATGACCCCACGATTAAATCAGAGACAGAAAACCAACTTTCATTGCCATAGGAAGGATATTATTAAAATTGGACAGGGTTCTGAAAAGATTTACCACATTTCCCCCGAAGCATAGGAGGTTGAGGGATGACCTTATAGAGGTCTATAAAATCATGAGGGGCAAGGGTAAGGTGAATAGCAGGTCTTTTTCCTAGGGTTTTTCAAGACTGGGGGGGCATATTTTTAATTTTTTCTCCTCTCACCTTCACAAGGACACGAGGGGCAACTTTTTTTTTTAAACACAGAGGATGGTTCGTCTGTGGAATGAACTTCCAGAGGAAGTGGTGGATGACGGCACAGTTACAATGTTTAAAAAGACATTTGGATAAGTAAATGAATAGGAAAGGTTTGGGGGATATGGACCAAACGCAGGTAAATGGGACTTAGTTTGGTTTGGGAACATGGCGTGGACTGGTTGGACCAAAGGGTCTGTCTCCATGCTGTATAACTCTAACTATACATCCTTCACATCAAGTTGCTGTTCATAATTGCTGCCACCACCCCCAAAATTCCTTAGTCTTTTCCTTTTTAAACAGAAAGGTGTGAGTGAGCCAGTTTGTTTGTTTTCTTTTAGAAAATAGCACACCGACAGATTTCATGGTCGCTTTAACCATAACATCTATTTTGCTGACAAATTTTTGAGCTCTAAACACTGCGAAGGGCTCAAATATTCATGAAATCCCTACAGTGTGAAAACAGGCCATTCAGCCCATCGAGTCCACACTGACCCCTCTGAAGAGCTTCTCACCCAGACACACCCCCTTATCCTATCCCTGTAACCCTGCAGTTCCCATGGCTAACCCACCTAACCTGCATACCTCTGGACATTACAGGGCAATTTAGCACGGCCAATGCACCCTAACCTGCACATCCCTGGGCACTACGGGACAACTTAGCATGGCCGATCCACCCTAACCTGCATACCTTTGGACTGTGGGAGGAAATCGGAGCACCCAAAGGAAATGCACGCAGACACGGGGACAATTTGCAAACTCCACACAGACAGTTGCCCGAAGGTGGAATCGAACCCTGGTCCCTGGTGCTGTGAGGCAGCAGTGCTAACCACTGAGCCACTGTGCTGCCCACTGTAGGCCATGGCCTAGAGGTAAACAGAGGGGCTGCTCCCCCCTGCAACAGGAATAGGTTTGAGGGGTAATAGGAGCATGCACTTCTGGAAAAAAACAGATGGGGCAGGGTGAGGGGAGACTGAATTACAATGGCAGCTCTCTCCTTAGATGTCAAAAATTCTACCAATTAAACAGGTTCATAGATCATCCAATCCAGCTTTCCCATGTCACCTTGCTCCAGGCAACAGCTGTGCCTGCACCATTTTCTCAAACACACAGATTTTCTCTCAGTCAAGGATATGCAGCAAGCTTGGCTGGGCAGAAAATATTGTACAGAGGTCAGTGGGCCAGCATAAAAGGGTCTCGATGTTGGCTAGTTTTCCACATGTGAGAGAAATGGAGGCGGGGGAGAGAGTGAGAGAGAGAGAGGGAGAGAGGGAGAAAGGGAAACGGGGAGAGAGAGAACGTGAGAAAGAGACACAGACAGAGAGAAAGAGACACAGAGGGGCATATGCATACACAGGCATCAGTTCCTTCTTTGCTGCTGCAACCCCTTAACTATATCTTTTTACATATTTTCATAGAAATATTTAAACTGTCCATTTCCTAACCCAACCCCCCAAAAACTGATTTGACATATTTACAAACGAGGAAACGGTGAGAGACACAGTGTTTCCTTCGAGACAGATGATTAACATGATTGCTCCTGAACTAGTCATGAGTTTGATACAAATCTATGTTACAGCATGAAAAAAATACAGACACATGTGCACCAGATCAGTCTGAAAAACCGCATCAGGTTCCAATAAATGAAAACCTTCGAGTCTGGCGCAGAGGTTACAACAGATTACAAGTTCTTTTTTAAAAAGAGAAACTATTTAGAAAGTCCCGTCGCGTGAGAAATTTAAAAAATAAAACTGACAATCACTCCTCCTCAATAGCTCGAGACCCTTGCAGCTCTAAAGGGTCATGCACTCACATGGGGTCAGGGATCGGGCAAAATTCAGGGATCCCTTAAAACCCCAGTATTGCATTTTTTTTTGTCAGAGAGAAAAAAATAATATAGTTTATACCAATTCTGCTCTCTTGGGATCCTGAGATGGGAAATCCACCTGTAGCTGCCAATGGTCCACAATATCTCTTGACCTCCAAAGGTGAGACAGACAGGGGCACGTTGGCTGGTCCATCTTTTACAACCACAGGGGAATTCACGCTGCATATTGACCGGGCCACTGAGAAGGGTGGAAGTGCCTGTATTTTGTCAGAGAGAGGGGTTTTTCTTTGGAGGGGGGGGGGTGTAAGAGCACATTAAAGCCCCGAGGTGACAGTCACTACCCACCACCAGATGAGACGGATTTTGTCAGTGAAGGTTAATGGGGGAGGCTTCTCCCCAAACACAGGGCCCAGGCCAGATGTCCCTGCCTGCTCAACCTAAAACAAACCAAGAGAAAGGTCAACTCCCTCTTGTGTAGTGTCCGAGAGCTCAGGGGTCCTGCAAAGTAATACTGAGCTTTAAAAATTCTTTCTCACCCCGTTGAGAAGGTGGGGAGGGGGTAAGCTGTGCGGTGTGCTACCACTTGGGAGGGAGAGAGTGCCAGAGTTTTCATCCAGCGACAATGAAGCAATCTCCAACACAGTTCCAAGGCAGGATGATGCATGAGGCTCAGAGGGAAATTGTGCCTACAGTGGATCCCCATGCTTGGGAAGGGGAGGGAGGGTTCAAACCTGGGGGTCTGGAAGGTGCTGTTGAAGGTGACTTAGCAGCAATGCACCTTGATGGGCGTGCGCACACACTGCGTCAGCGGGCAGCATGGCATCTTGTACTCCGATGGAAGGAAAAGTACCCGATCACTGTCGGGTGACCACTCCCCGTCAGGGTGACAAGGGTGAGAGAACGCACGACTCAAGCTCTTACAGTTTCACAAGCAGTCTCCTTTGCAGGAGCCGAGACAAGGCCAGGTGGTAGGGTCACCGGCCTGGCCCACAGCAGGAGTCATCCAGCGCATGTGGTGAATAGCACAGACCAGGCAGACATTCCAAAAAATAAAATGGAGGTGATCTTGCTTTCCTACTCTTAATCAAACACCCAACCCCACCAAAAATAAAATAAAAAGCTTCAAAACACTATCGAAGCAGAAGAATAAGCTGGAGCACTGATGCCTAGATCAGCACAAGTGCTCCAAAGCGTCACACCTAAAGCTTCAAATACAGGCATAGAGCAAGTACCAAGCACTGCTTTGAGCATAGGGATACACAAATGCACCATGCCCCCACCTCCAGTGGAATTCTGACCAAGCTGCAGCACTGGACACCAAAGATGAAGATTACCCAAATTCAGAAATTCTGAGGGTGGAGTTCAGGGGACAGGACGGCTGTCTCTCTGCTGGTGGAATGTCCTTCACTTTCTCTGCTCAGCTCCGTCTGGGTGGGTTGTGGAAATAACACGGCCGCGGCACAGTTTACAAATGAAATGCTCACGGGGGTTTGGCGTGGTGGGGAGGGGAAGGGGTGATGTGATGGGGGAAGACTGGACATGACTCGGTAATGCCTTCCTTTTCTGTTACTCAGAGAACGATGGGAATATTGGGAGCTCCGAGAATTCATCGCTGTTGTAACTGGTTCCCTGCTCCTCGTAGATTGACAGCATGTCCTAAATGGGTTAAGCAAAAAACAGGGGGGAAATGTTACACATTGCTCATTCATGCACTCAAACCCTTCCGCATTTATGTACCCACCACTTCCCCTCACTGAATGAGCAACAGAGGAGCAAGCGGCCATTCTGCCCCTTAAGTCTATTCTGCGCCATTCAATCAGATTACCACCCCCTCCTCCAATAGCTGCACCATACAACCACAGACATCCTGGTAGGCAGCCTTCCAAAGTCTCCCACCTTTGACAAACACCAGGGAAGGAGAAGGACCTGTATTTCCATAGCACCGGGAGAGCCCAAAGCACTCTACAAGCGAAGCTATTGCTTCGGAGACATGGCAGCCGATTTGCGTACAGCTAAAGACACGACACCCCTTGTCGCTGCGCCCTCCCCCTCTACCCTAAACTCAGCTGTGGCTGGAAAAATCTCCCGTGCATTTTGACAGCACACAGGGATAGATTATATTCAGTTATAACAATGGCTCTGATGATATGGTTGGCAGCGGCCAAGCTGGGCACATTGTAGACAGACACAGTCTCAGCACACCGGTGTCCATTTGGCCCACTGCAGCCGTACCAGCTCTTAAATTCCAGGGAGGAAACCGCAACTTGGGAGGTAATGTCACTGAGCTGGTGACAGAGGCCCTCAGGTTAATGTTCTGGGGTTGGGGGAAACACAAGTTCAAATCCCACCACGGCCCTTGGTGGAATTTAAATTCAACGAATCAAACCAGAACTGGAAGCTGGTCTCGGGGGATGGTGACACCAACAAGTGTCATCAATTGTGGTAAAAAAAACCCTATCGGTGGCGTGGGTGGGGAGCATCACTAACAGGGGAAAGAAATTTGCCATCTTGACCCAGTCCGAGCTACACGTGACTCCAGACCAATCCAATTCAGGTTAAATCAAGTCAATTGCATAGAGACAGGCTGTTTGGCCCAACAGATTGACTCTTCACTGCCCTCTGAATTGGCCCCAAGCCAGACTTTATTCACGGGGCAATTAAGGGACAGGGAGGCAACAATGGTAGCCCTCAGCAGCAACGTCCACATCCACTAAAAGAACTTCATCCCACAACCACTTTTCTAATCAATCCACAGCCTCTACAAATCTCATCAGCAACTATTTATCAGAGGTCCACACTCCCACAGTCCCCTGCAAGCTCCTGTTGAATCTGCTCCCACCACCCTTTCAGGCAGCACCCCACCCCTCCCGACCCCACCCCACCCCATTCTTGTGGAAGAGAGCGCCTCTGCTGGTGACTGGCGGGAATGTTTTCTCCCTCAGTCAAACCACGCATCCAGCCGCAAACCTCGATTCAATCTCCCTGCTACACGCGGCAAGGGTTGCTCACCGGAAACACCTCAGGCTGGCTCTGTTGCGTGTGCTGTTCACTGGAGGCCTGCGAATGATGCTGACCCTGCCACTGAGGCCACACAGACCCTCCGTCCGCGGGCCGACTCTGGAACTGCGAACCAGTCTGTCCGGCTTCAGCTTCCGCAAGTTTGGGGGTGGGGGGGTAGGAATAAAGTTTGCTTTTTATTAAAGAGGAGGAGGCATTTCAATTCACACAGCAGAATTTAAAAAAAAAGGCAGTCACCGCGCACACACAGACACACAGTCTCCAGAGGACTGTAGGGCTCATTAGAGACAGACAATTGACAATGAGTTAACAGCACGTACCAACATAATGGAAGGGTAAAAGAAATCCCAAACTAATCGGCCCACTCCATAGTCAAATCATGTTGACTGCACAGAAATGGGCCATTCCGCCCAATGGGTCCATGCTGGCCTTAATGCTCTACTCCAGCCTTCTCCCTCCAGCCTCTTTATTCCACACCATCCACATAGTGTGAACTGGGGAGGCACAGACAGAGACAGGCATGAACACACCAGGGAGATGGGTAAGGACAAAGATGCAAAGCTTTCCGTCTCAAACTCATCAGGTCAGAATGCAAGAATGCGAAATACGAAAGCAGTCCGGGCTAATCCACGCTTTCTGGTCAGGAGAGAGAAATGTACAGACAGCCATCGGCATTCAGGAAGAATTCAGCCTCTGTCTGCAACTCGGAACCATAGACTGGAGCAAGAGCGGGTTGGCTACCTACCGAAAGCAGAGGTTCGATTCACGAGCGACGGGTAGGCAGTGCCTCCCGCCGTTGACGTGGCCACCGGGCTGGCAAGGGGGCTGAAGGAAGCGGTGTTGGCCGTGAAACTCCGGCTGGCTGCCATGCCAAACTGGGGTGACTGTGTCTTTGCCCCCTGGGCTGCCATCTGCTCAAAGGACACACAACAGAGGAAGTTAGGGGGAAAGCAAGGACTAGGACGGTCACACGCCACACAGCGTCGTCACGGGAAACTCCGCTGCCAGCTCACGTCATACAGTCACACAGCACGGAAACAGACCCTTCAGTCCAACCAGTTCATGCTGATCATAATCCCAAACTAAAACTAGTCCCACTTGCCTGTTCCTGGCACACATCTCTCCAAACCTTTCCTATTCATGTACTTATCCAAATGTCTTTTAAATGTTGTAATTGTACCCACATCCACCACTTCCTCTGAAAGTTCAATCCACACACAAACCACTCTGTAAAAAAACTTGCCTCTCATATCTTTTCTAAAATCTTTCTCCTCTCACCTTAAAAACATTCCCCCTAGTTTTGAACTCCACTCCCCCGCCCCCTCCCCCTCCCCCGACCCTAGGGAAAAGACCCTCGTCATCCAGCTTATCTACACTCCTCATGATTTTATAAACTTCTATAAAAGGTCACCCTGAACCTCCTAAACTCCAGTGAAACAAGTGCCAGCCTTTCCAGCCTAAGTTTTATAACTTAAGCCCTCCATTCCCAGCAACATCCTGGTGAATCTTTGCTGAACCCTCTCTGTTTAATAATATCCTCCCTTTGGCAGGGCAACCAGAACTGGATACAGTGCTTCAGAAGAGGCCTCACCAACATCCTGTACAACCTCAGCACAACGTCCCAACTCCTATTCTGAAAGGTCTGAGCAACAAAGGCAGCCATGCTAAATGCCTTTTTAATCACCCTGTCTACCTGTGATGCAAACTTCAAAAAATTATGTTCCTGTACGCCTAGGTATTTCTGCTGTACAACACTACTCGTTAATTATACAAGTCCTGTCCTTGTTTGTATAACAAAAATGCAATACATTTATCCAAATTAAACTCTATCTGCCACTCCTCAGTCTATTGACCCAATCGATCAAGATGTCTTTGTAATCTTAGATAACCTCCTTCACTGTTCACTTATGTCTGTGTCTCCTTACTGGCTAATTCAGAAGCAAAACTACTGCAAATGATACAGCACCAGGCTCTAAACAGAACAGATCTGTTTCAGTGGCTCAGTGGTTAGCACTGCTGCCTCACAGCAGCAGGGACCCAGGTTCGATTCCAGCCTTGGGCGACGTGTCGGTGTGGAGTTGGTACGTTCTCCCTGTGTCTAAGTGGGTTTCCTTCTGGTGCTCTGGCTTCCTCCCACGATCCAAAGATATGCAGGTCAGGTGGATTAGCCATGATTAAAACCCATTATTGCGACTGGTTGGGATGCCCTTCAGAGGATTGGTGCAGACTTGACCGGCCGAATAGCCTCTGACTGTAAGGATTCTACGATATCTCGATTCTAGGCCCTTCCCTCGGGCACCAACACCAAGTGAAGGCCTCTGACTTTGTTAATGCAGAATTCCTTGTCAGCATTCACCAGTGTGATGAATTACTGCCCGCTAGCCTGGATGGATATGGCTCCAACACTCGAGAAGCTCTGCACCGTCCAGGACAAAGCAGCCCACTCCGCTGGAACTGCATTCAACATCCATTCCCTCCATCACTGACACTGCAGCAGGCATGTACTATCCACAAGAATGCACTGCCATGCCAAGACTGCTTTGGCAGCACCTGCCAACTCCTGGACCTGTACCCTCAAGAGGGGCAAGGGCAGCAAATACACCATCCCCTGCAAGTTCCCATCCGAGCCAAACACTACCTAGACTTGGAAATAAATCAGCTGTTCCTCGATTGTTGCTGAGGAAAAATCCAGGAAGTCCTGCACAGTTGTTAGGAACGGTACATCTACAACTCATACAGTTCAAGGGAGTGACACACCGCCATGTTCTCTAGGGAAGAGGCAACACTTGCCAGTCTAACTAGCCATGCCCACAGAGTCATCGAGATGTATAGCACAGACCCTTTGGTCCAACTCGTCCATGCCAACCAGATATTCTGTATTAATCCAGTCCCATTTGGCCCATATCCCTCTCAAACCTTCCTATCTATGTACCTGTCCAAAAGCCCTATAAATGCCTTGTGATTGCACCAGCCTCCGCCACTTTCTCTGGCAGCTCGCTCCATACATGCACCACCCTCTGCATGAAAAAATTGCCCCTCAGGTCCCTTTTAAATCTTCCTCCCCTTCTCACCTTAAACCCGTGCCCTCTAGTTTTGGACTTCCCCCATCCTGGGCTATTCACCCTATCCATGTCCCTCATGATTTTATAAATCTCTGTAAGGTCGCCCCCTCAGCCTCCAATGCTCCAAGGAAAACAGTCCTGGCCTATTCAGCCTCTCCCGCACCTTCAAACAAACTTGCAATTGATCCTTTTGGGATTACTTTCCGCGATCCCAAAAGAACATGGCCTGTGATTCAAACACAAGTTGTCGGGGCAGTGGGGGGGAGCGGGAAAGCAAGCCAGAAGCTCAATGGGAAATTTTAGAGAAAAAAAAGGCATCCTAACCTGTGCTGGGAACGGTGGCCGGCTTCCGCTCCAGGCATTTCCAGTAACCTGACCGTTGGCTGATTGCCGTGAGATCTGAGCTAAGATCTGCCCTGCCGACGCTGGCTGCTGGACAATGTTCACAGGAGGAACCATGGCGGAGCTGGCATGGCAGAAAAAAGTGGTCAGAAGCAGGGCGAGACACCACAGCACCGCGCCGCGCGAGGCAAAACGCGACTTTGGCCACGTGCCCCGCGTTTTAGGATGGACGAGAGGATACGGAGGGTCGGACAGCGGAGGGACACAAATACAAAATCAGCAAAAAGCACCAGAGATGTTCACATGGAAAATGTCACGCAATCAGCGGTTAAGATTTGTCAGCAGGGTGGTTCATACGGATTCAACACAGTCGCCATCACAAGGGAAAGGCAGATGAAGGAGCGAGACAAGATGCATTGCCCTTTGAAGGGGATAGTACACACGATGGCCTGAATGGCCTTCTGCAATATTGCAAGGTCAGCTGGCGTTTCAACACGTTGCATTAGCATCTTTTAAAGGATCCTGTTCCACAGGATTCTCCATTTGTCGGACTCCTGGGATTTTCTAAAGTAGGGTGTGCGGAGGAGGGTGGGTGGGGGCACTTGTCTCCAAATGCTGTCTGGATCAAGTCAAGGATGTGGCTGCCATTGGGATTTGTTGCTGAGTCAAACAGAGCAGTGATATCAGAACAGAGCACAGCACGCAGGACAGGCCAGGTCTGATCTGATGAGGGAAAACACTTATTGAGGACAACACTGGGCGGCACAGTGGTTAGCACTGGCCTCACTGTTGCCAGGGACCCCAGTTTGATTCCAGCTTTGGATGACTGTCCATCTGTGCATTTTCCCCGTGTCTATATGGGTGCTCCGGTTTCCTCCCACAGTCCAAAGATGTGCAGGTTAGGGTGGATTGGCCATGCTAAATTGTCCACAGTATCCAGGAATGTGTAGGCTAGGGGGATTAGCCATAGAAATGCAAGGTTGCAGGGTGAGTCTGGATAGGATGCTCTTTGGAGGGTCGGTGTGGACTCGCTGCACCATATGGCCTGGTTCCACACTGTAGAAATTCTACAATTCTGTGACAGCATGTTCCATCTGGAGCACCACAAGGTACTTCTATCTATCGCAGAACGCAACAGGTACCTGAAGTTCTGTGCCGGTCGTGTTGACGGGAAGGAGGTGCCCTGCTGGAAGATCTGCTGAGTCCCGGTACCTGGCGTCGAGGGAATCACCTTACTCTGGTCGGCTGCATCAAGGCAAGGAAACAATCGTCAAAAACACGCAACGATTGAGCGACTACAGCAGAAAGGAAACAAGCACTTTGCCGGCCATCTGACTTCCTGAGGCACTCCACAGAGGGGAATAAAAAGAGGGAAGCAATGACTTAGTGGTATCATCACTAGACTATTAATCCAGAAACTCAGCAAACGTTCTGGGGATCCGGGTTCAAATCCCGCCAAGGCAGATGGTGGAACTTGAATTCAATAAAGAATCCGGAATTAAGAATCTAATGACAACCGTGAATGCATTGCCAGTTGTTGGAAAAATCCATCTGGTTCACTAATGCCCTTTAGGGAAGGAAACTGCCAACCTTACCTGGTCTGGCCTACATGTGACTCCAGACCCGCAGCAATGTGGTTGACTCTTGGACTGCCTTATGAGTTAATGCTGGCCGAGCCAGAGACACCCACATCTCGAGGGTGAATGAAAAGAAATTGGCTGTGTCAAGGCAGTGCAACAGCCAATTTGCAGACAGGAAACTCCTGCAAGGAGCGGTGCAAAAACGACCACAGACCATCCGACATGGGTCAAAGGACAAATATCTGTCCCAAGTGCATTGGCGAGAACAACCCATGCCCACTCCACCGTTCTTTCAAATGCAGGCGGTTTAACAATCACCAGAGGGTCAGGCCTGGTTTAATGCCTCACTCCCAAAGCCGCACCAATACACCTCCCGCAACGACAACGCCCCCTGTTCTAAAAATTTAATGGGACAAAAAGAAAAGGCCACTGAACAGCTTGCTTGCCTGTGGGAAGGGCCGAGTAGATTTCGGTGTAGCGCGGTTCGGTTTCCTGACTGTACAGGGGTTCTGCTTTGCTGATCGGTTTTGTGTGTTCCGATGCTGCAGCGACCTAGAGCACCAATGGACGGAGAATCAGATTAAATCACGGCCGGCTCAAAGTGATACCAGCGTGGTCGACACACCTACCTGCTAACAAGAGGGAGGGAGATGTCAATAGGGACGGGTCGGACACAGATGGATGGGCCTTTATCATGCCAACCCTCCCAGATGTCCCTCTTGTGTATCTGCCGTAGAGGGAAATGGGGAAATCAACACACGTCCTGCTCTCCCCACCTCCACCCCTCCCTACCAGCTTTTCTCCATCGACTGCCAAGAACATTCAGAGAGAGAGAGAGCGAGACAGCGAGAATGTGTGAACAGAAAGGGAAGGATGCTTTGTGAGGTTGGGGGGAAAAAGACATTATAGGAAACTGCATTCAGGGAAGTGCTCGCTACGGGGACTGGCACAGATGTGATGGGCTGAATGGGGCCTTCCTGAGCCATTACAATTCCGTGACGAGAGTTACAGCCAGCTACCCAGGTCAAAGGGGAGAGAACAGTTCAGAGACTGACCCAACGCTAGCGTGGGCCGCGCTCCGATGTGCCTGGTTTACCCTACCACCTCACGCAAATCAGGAAGGGAGGGAGCACTTGCTACCAGCGTGCACCAGGAAGGTGGGAGAGCCGGAAAATAAGCAGTCTGAGATAGCCAGGGTTTAATCACGGCATGGCACATTTAAGATTTACATCGGTATTCACTTACCTGAGAATGGTCATAGGCAAGGTCTTCTTGCCCAGTGATGGCAGGAAGTTGCTGCAGATGCCTGTGGGAACAAGTTCATGTCCGTCACACAACGCTTACTTCAATAAAGGACAGAACTGCATACGTGGAGGACATTCATGAGAACACCAGAACCTCCCAGTTGGTATTGAGCTGGGGAAGGAAAGCTAGGGTGCACAATGTGGGAGACAATGGGTCTCACTTCAGGATTAAATCCCCTCACTGCAATAAGCTTCCTGCACACATTCCCTGTCCACTGAAGTGATCAAACACTGTCAGGGCAGGGACAGCACAGGGTTAGATTCAGAGTGAAACTCCCTCTACACTGTCCCCCACATCAAATATTCTCAGGACAGAGACCACAAGGGGATTAGATACAGAGTAAAGCTCTCTCTACACTGTCAGGGCACAGTGATTGCACAGGGTTAGATACAGAGTAAACTTTTTCAAGTGTACTCTCCATTATAGGAGAGACAGCAGCCATTTTACTCAAAGGAAGCTCAGCAAACAGAAACATGAGGACCCAGACCACCAGGATGATCCCTGGTATGGAGGGACTATCTTATGAGCAAAGGTTAACCAGTCTGGGATTCTACTCACTGGAGTTAAAAATGAGAAATGATCTCATTGAAAGAGAGAGGATTCCTAAGGGGCCTGGCAGGGTAAATGCTGAGAGGGTGCTTCCCCTCGTGGAGACCAAAGGGCACAGTCTCAGAATAAAGAGATACCAATTTAAGGCTAAGATGAGGAGGAACTTCTTCCTTCAGGGTTGAGAATCTTTGGAACTCTTTGCACAGACAACTGTGGGGACAGAGTCCTTACATGTATTTAAGACCGAGATAGATTTTTGATCAGTTAGGGAATCAAGGGAAAGGGCAGGCAAATGGACATGAGGAACCAAAAGAACTGCAGATGCTGGAGATCAGAAACAAGAACAGAAATTACTGGAAAAGCTCAGCAGGTCTGGCTGCATCTGTGAAGAGGAATCAGAGTTAAGATTTTCAGTCCAGTGACCGTTCCTCAGAACAGATGAGGAACAGTCACTCGACCCGAAATGTTAACGGATTTCGCCCCGCAGATGCTGCCAGACCTGCTGGGCTTTTCCAGCAAATTCTGGACATGAGGAACGTTTGATCAGCCATAATCCTACTGAATGGTGGCACAGGCTCAAGGGGCTGAACAGCTTACTACTGTTCCTGTTTCATGTGTTTTTTGAAGCACTGTTGGTTGAGGAATAGTGACCCCAGGGAGAATTACTGCTTTCCACTCTCAAGTGCCCACCACTTTTCAAAACAGCGGGCATGGGATGTAAGTTCAGCAAAGGAGGCAGAAGATCTGAACCAATTCTAATCTACTTTTAGTTCAACCCCAATTGCTGAATTAGTTCCTCTGTCAGCGCACAGTGACTTCTAAATGCTTCCACTCCTTAGTATTGAAGAATAAGATTAGCCAGACTGCCTTCTTCTGAATAATGCCCCAACCTCACCTCCCAGCAGGCAGAGACATAGGTCAGAAAAGACCTGATCAGCAATATACTGGTAATACAGAGGGCCAGACCGAGGACACATGTTCAAATCCCACCTAGGCCCCAGGGGAATTTTAATTCCGCGGATGAAATCTGGAATTGCAAGCTTATCTCCGAGATGGTGACAACCATCGACTGCTGGGGGAAAAAAAAACTCATTTGGTCCACTACTGGGGGAAAGGAAATATGGTGCCCTTGGCCTGGTTTAAGCCTACACGTGATTCTAGACCCCAAAGCAATGGGCTCGACTCAATCACCCTCTGAAACGGCACTCGCAAGGCACTCAGGTCAAAGGGCAATTAGGGATGGGCAAAAAAAAAAATTGCCAGCCTTGAAAACCGACTCCACCCACAGCTCACGGATGGATAGATCACAAGGACAAGCTGTCCGGGCTGAAATACCGACTCCTGGAGCAGCAGATGTCAATGCTTTCACACGTGATATTTAGCACCCAAGTGGAGAATTCTCTTGGCCTTCAGAGGTTAAGCAGCAGGACGTACTTGACATTGGTGTTGGTGCAGACGATATACTCAATGTCGTCAGAGTATGGGTTCTGGAAGGAGAAGCTGCTCGTCCTGATCACCGCCCACTCTCGGCTCTTGGTCTGGAACCGGAACATGACTGACAGCACCTGGCCCTTCAGCGAGACCACCTGCAAGCCGTAAAGGGGAGATAGCCCGGTCAGTCAGAGGCACTGACGCGGTCTGCAAGGAGGTCACCCTACTATAGACAGGACATTATTAAACTAGAAAGAAGGCAGGAAAGGTTTACCAGGATGCTACCTGGACTGGAGGGTTTGAGTCATAAAGAGGAGGCTGGGACTTTATTCCCCTGGAGGGTAGGAGACGGTAGGTTGGCCTTATAAAGGTTTATAAAATCATGGGAGGCATAGATAAGGTAGACAGCCAACAGCTTTTCCCCAGGATAAAGGAGTCAAATCAGAGGCTTAAGGTGAGAGCGGAGAGATACAATAGGGTCCAGTGGGGATGATTTTTTTCCTCACACAGAGGGTGGTGAGTGTCTGGAACGGGCTGCCAGAGGTAGTGGAGAAGGCTAGTACAATTTTTTCATTTAAGAAACACTTAGATACACGGACGGGATTCACATGCAGGGATATAGGCCAACACAGGCAAATTGGGACTAGATCAATTGTGAAAACTGGGGAGCATGGACAAGTTGGGCTGATGGGCCTGTTTCCATGCTATAAACCTCAACGACTCTAAGTTTGTCAAAACCATTGGCCTGGAAGCACCAGCAGGAGACACTTCCTCAACTGCTCGAAGGCTCTGTGCATGCCCACTGACCCGTGGGCCGATGGGCTTCTTGTTCTGGAAACTGTCACCACGCGCAGATCTTGGAAGGAAAACCTGCAGAGAACACAGCCGGCAGGAGACCAAGCAAATGTTGGTAGGGCTCTGAGAGTCGATGCTCACGAATGCCGCCACATGCCACCCATCAAAAGAGCCATCAAAGGGGCAGCTCTGCAAACACTGGCAGAGTCTCAGGGGCAAGTGAGAGACAGAGAGAATGAGTGATTAGCACTGCTGCCGCATGGCACCAGGGACCCAGGTTAAATTCCACCCTCAGGATACAGTCTGCACATTCTCCCCGTGTCTGTGTGGGTTTCCTCTGGGTCATCCGGTTTCCTCCCAGAGTCCAAAGATGTGCAGGTTAGGGTGGAAATTGTCCCTCAGTATCCAGGGATGTGCAGGCTAGGCAGGTTAGCCATGGCATGTGCAGGGTTACAGGGATAGGGTGGGTCTGGGTGGAATGCTCTGAGGGTTGGTGCAGACTCGATGGGCTGAATGGCCTCTGTCTGCATTAAAGAGATTCTATGATATCGGACAGGCACTCTAGTGTAATAAACTCTCAGGGGCAAGAGGGAGCACGTGCGTGAGGGGGAAAATAAGGCTGACTGATCGCTATACATTGGCCAGCACAGACCCGAAGGGACACACAGCCTCTTTCTGCATCATAATAATACTTGTTCTCATACAGACACATGCCTGAACCGTTTGAAACCAGAGGGAGACATTACCTGCTGAAAACTGTCTCGTAGAAGTCCCTTATCCTCTGGGTGGGCAAAATCCACAATATCTTTTCCCAGCAACTCCTTTTAAATACAGGAATGGAAACAGAGACAGATAAGTATTTTTGTTCAACAAGACTGCCGGGTGATCACAAAATGGAAATGGCAGCAACAGTTGGGCTCCGATTCCTCCTGGCATAACAGAGTGAACCATGAGTTCCTGTCCCACCACTGCCAAGCCCAGTGTGCCAGCCTGGAGGGCAGACATTGCAGATGGCAGGTGGAGGCTTCTCCCTGGTGCCCTAGGGCCAAGCTTTATTCTTCTGTCAACATTGAGAAAGAAGAGGGGGGTAAAAAAGAAAAATCCACCCTGGGTCATCGCAACATTGCGGTTTGCGGGATCCTCCTATGCCCAAACTGGCTGCCATTTGATTTGATGTAATATTGTCACATGAACCGCGATACAGTGAAAAGTGTGTTTTGAATGCAGTACATGCAGATCATACCACACAGACTGCGTAAGGGTAATATAGAACCAAGTGATGTTACAGCGCAGAGGACGTGCACAAACAGCAAAATGAACATTTAAATTGAGAATTTGAGAGGCCTATTCACAAGACTAAAAACAGCAGGGTAGAAGCTGCTCTTGGATCTGTTGGTATGTGTGTTTAAGCTTTTGTATCTTCTGCCCGACAGGAAGAGTTCAGAAGAGAGTATAACCAGGATCGGAGGGGTCTTTGGTGATATTGGCTGCCTTTCTGAGGCAGTGCTAAGTATAGATGGAGTCAATGGATGGATGGTTGGCTTGTGTGATGGACTGGGCTGTGTTCACAACTCTCTACAGTTTCTCATGCTTTTGAGCAAAGCAGTTGCCGTACAAAGCCGTGATGTATCCAGAGTGAAAAATTGGGAAGAGTCTTTACTGACACACAGTGACTACACTTTAAGTTGTACTTCACTGGCTGCCAGACACCTGCAAGGTGCTACAGGAATGCACATCCATCCTTTCTTGCCGCCTCTCAGAAGCAGCCGCAGGGGATGGTGGGGGCAGGGAGCACTGTTGGCATCAGTAGGCCAGTTTACCGTCTTCACCGGGAGTGCCCCTCCCTCCACCTGCCCTGCCCGACCTCTCAACCAAGGGGCAAGAGACTGCCCAACGACAACCAGCTCAACAGCATGTGCTACTGGTCGTCAAGGACCTACCTGAGACTGGTACCCGATAGTGCCCAGGCACCGGCAATCGACAAAGGTGAAGACGCCATTGGGGTTGTGCCTGGAGAGGAACTCAATGGGCACACTGTTGCTCTTCATGTCCAAACAGTTGGGCGAACTTGTCACCTTGCCGACATGACAGGAAGCAGAGGTACAAAAAGCAGGATTAGACATACTCCGCATACACACTGCCCATCAATAATTACTTTACACACAAGTGCCAAAAGGCCCAAAATCCTGGAAACCAACGCAACCCCACTGTCATCAGTGCAGAGGTGGCGCTATGGGAAGGTTGGTACTGAGGGACATGTTGCATTGAACTCTCACTATATCCCGCTTTCCAATGTTGATCCCCAAACCTACACTCCCAAGTACATTTTTTTAAAAATTCACTCACGGGATGACAGTGTCACTGGCCAAGCCAGCATTTATTGCATATCCCTAATTGCCCAGAGGGCAGTTAAAAGTCAACCACATTGCTGTGGGTCTGAAGTCACATGGCCAGACCAGGTAAGGATGGCAGTTTTTAGTGAACCGGATGGGTTTTTCCGACAATCAGCAATGGAGTCACGGTTATCATTAGACTCTTCGTTCCAGGTTGCTATTGAATTAAAATTCCACTATCTTCTGCGGCGGGATTTGAACCCGGGTCCCCAGAACACTACCTAGGATTCTGGATTAACAGTCCAGCGATAATATCACTAGGATATCACCTCCCCCCAGTTTATGGGATCTTGCTGCACGTAAAATAGCCGCCATCTTTCCCACAGCAGCAATTGGAGCACCCAAAAGGAACAGGAAGTGCTACCGAACCGAGAACAATTGTTTCTTTTCCGTGAAACATCAACGACATCCCTCAATAGGAACTCAATCCTCAATCACTGACGCCCACCATTCAGTCACTGGGCTGGGCCCCGTGAAATTCTCCCAGAGTAATTTCACAGTGGATCATCAATGCTCCAACAAGAGCACCTCTCGTTCACAATGCCACCTCCCTGCCCACTTCAATGTTTAGCATTGATTGCTTCAAATGACATCGTCACCCCATCACTCAAACTCCCCCAACCCCAGCAGTTGCCTCGATAAGGAGAGCATAACAGGTTCCAGGTACCACACGTAAGTGAGGATGGAAGTGTATTGGAAACAAAATGTACAAGACATTGGTGAGGGCCTCTTCTGGAAAACCATGTCCAGTTCTGGTCGGCCAGTTATGGGAAGGATATCATTAAGTTGCAGAGGGTTCAGAACAATTTTACAAGGATGTTGCAAGGTATGGAAGGTTTGAGTTACAAAGAAAGGTTGGATAGACTGGGACTTTTCTCACTGAAACGTGAACGGTTGAGAAGCGACCTTATAGAAGTTTATAAAATCATGAGGGACGTCGACAGGGTTAATGGCAGTTGCCTTTTCCCTAAGATGGGGGCTTCAAGACTAGGGGACATATTTTTAAAAGGTAAGAGAGGACAGAGATTTAAAAAAGACACAAGGGTGATTTTTTTTTTGAAAAACACAGTGGTTTGTGTGTGGAATGAACTTCTTGAGGAAGTGATACACGTGGGTACAGTTAAAAGACCTTTGGAGGGATATAGGCCAGAAGCTGGAAGGTGGGACTAGTTTAGTTTGGGATTATGTTCAGCATGGACTGGTTGGGCCGAAGGGTCTGTTTCCATGCTGTATGACTCTGCTGATTTCTGCAAGGAAGGGTTTGTCTTCAGACAGGCTGGGCTTGTTGGGCCTGTACCCATTGGCATTTCAATGAATAAGATATGATCCTTTTGGAACATTACAAGATCCTTTGGACAGAGAGCGACAGGGTCGATGCTGAGAGGGCAATTCCCCCTCGTGAGGGAATCTAGAACCACGGGGCACAGGTTTAAATTTTTTTTTTATCCACTCGGAGTTACTGGCAGGGCTAGAATTTATTGTTCCTACATAGCTGCCCTGGAGAAGGTGGTGGTCGAGAGCTGCCTTCTTGAACCGCTGCTATTTGATAGGTGCAGGGACTGCAGGAGTTCCAGGATTTTGATCCAGCGACACTGAAGGAATGGCCGCTATCTTTCCAAGTCAGGATGGTGAGCGGCTTGGAGGGGACCTCGCAGGGAATGGTCATCCATATCTGCTGCCATTGTCTATCTAGAAAGAAGAGGTTGTCAGTTTGGAAGGTGCTGTCTAAGGAGCCTTGGTCAGTCACTGCAGTGCATCTTGTTGACGTTACACATTGCTGTGACTGAGCGTCAATGGTGGGGGGAGTGGATGCTTGTGGATGTGGTGCCAATCAAGCGGGCTGCCTTGCCCTAGATAGTCTCAAGCTCCTTGAGTGCAGTTGGAGCAACACACTAGTGGGAAGCACTCCATCACACTCCTAATTTTTGCCTTGTTGATGGTGGACAGGATTTGGGAGGAGTCAGGAGGGGAGTTACTCGCTGCAGCATTCCTAGTCTCTGAATGACTCTTATCGCCACTATGTTTAAGAATAAAGGGGTCTCCCGGTTAGCAAGGAGAGGAGAAATTTAATTTGCCAGTTGAGACACTGTGGAATTCTCTTCCCTGAAGGCTGAATCAAATAGGTTCTTGACTACTAAATGAGTCTAAGGGAGGTTTGACAGGAAAGACAGTTGTCACAATCAAACCAGCCGTGATCTTATTGAATGGTAGAGCAGGGTCGAGGAGACAAATGACCTACTCCAGCTCCCTGCACGTTTGCGAGGAACACTGTTTAGGAAAGATGTTGTTAAACGTGAAAAGGTTCAGAGAATATTTACAAGAATCTTACAAGGCCTTGCAGAGTTTGAGCTATAGGGAGAGGCTGAATAGGCTGCGCTATTTTCCCAGGAGCGTCAGAGACCGAGGGGTGACCTTATAGAGGTTTATAAAATCATGAGGGCCGTGGATAAGGTGAATAGGCAAGGTCGTTTCCCTTATGTACGGGAGTCCAAAACTAGGTTTAAGGTGACAACGGAAATATTTAAAGGGGACGTGAGGAGCAACCTTTTCACACAGACAGTGGTGCATATATGGGACAAGCTGCAAGAAATGGTGGAGGCTAGTACAATTTAAAAGGCATCTGGATGGGTACACGAATAGGAAGAGTTTAGAGGGATATGGACCACACGCTGGCAAATGGGTCCAGATCAATTTAGGATGTCAGTTCAAATGAATGTGTTGGACCAAAAGGTCTGTTTCTGCGCCATACAGCTCTGTAGTACTGGCAGACATTGCCCTCAGCCACTTTCAACAGAGGTCCAAGGCCAGCTCTGGTCTTACCTGCAGACGTCCGATAGCTACCAGGCAAAACTTGTTCCCTTGACCGTCTGGTTCATCATCAGGAAGCGTCACACCTGAGAAACGACAACAACAGTCATGTTCAAAATCCACTTTCTCCACCCGTTCCCCACTACAACCTGCTCCCAAACCACCCCCTTCCCCCACCTCACTCTCCCGTAATCTGCTCCCTTGGTGCCAAATGGAACATCCACACAAGCCAAACGTAAACTCACCTGCGGGAGGCCAGGCTTTTATGTAACCTGTGCAGTGCACGACCACATACTGAGTCTCTCCTTCCTTGACTGGACCTAGTCCGTTTCTGGGAACAGGATGAAAGACAGGAGTGTGAGGAAATGAGGATGGTAGAAAATCCCCCACCAAAAAAAACCAAACAGCTTCAGGGTGGCACATCCAACACCTCTAAGATGAGGATACAGCTGGCAATTCCACCTCCATGGAAGGGATGAAGGCTCTCTCAAATCCTTTAGGGTGAGCCGGGGTGGCAGAGGTGACGACTTAAAACATAAGTCCTTATGGGAACGTTACCCTTCCCATAAACTGCCCCTCGAGGTAGTGATGGCAAGCCATCATCTAGAACTGCTGCTGTAGGGACACCCAGAACGCGGTCAGGGAAAAAGCTCCAGGATTTTGGCCCCAGCGACACTTACAAGTCAGGACAGTGAGTGGCTCGGAGGGGAACATGCAGGGGGTGGCATATCCGTGTAGCTGCACCCTTGCCCTTTTATGGGGTTGGAGGTCATGGGCTCCAAAAGTTCTGTCTAAGGAGCCTTGGCGAGTCGCCACAGTTCATTTTGTAGATGGTACACACTGCTGTGACTGAGCTTCGGTGGTGGAGGGAAAACTGGCTGGCAAAATGTCCAAAACCTGATGGTCTCTACCCTTAAAAGAAGGAGCTGGACATATTTGTTGGAATCACAAATTCTATAAATTCTGGGAAAGATCCCTGTGAATTGAAAAACTACAAATATAGCAGTGTGGCTGAAGGAAGGAGAGAGACAGAAAGTGGGAAATTCTAGGTCAGTTGGTTTAACGTTGGGAAAATTGCTGGAATCCAAAGATACCTAGAAGGTCATGGGATATCCAGGCAGAGTCAACACAGTTTAGTGAAAGGAATGTACTGTTTGATTAATTTATCAGGGTTCTACTGAAGATTGAACAAGCTGAGTGGATAAGGGGGAAATCAGTGGATGGAGTATATTTAGGTTCACAAAAGGCATTTAATGTGGCACCATATAAAAAAGTTACTGCTCCAGCCAAGAGTTCATGGTGCTTAGAATGCCATACTACAGTGGAGAGATGACTAAACTAACCACGAAGGAACCAGTGCTGGGACTTCCAACAATTTAGGATCAGTATTCATGACTGCAATCAGATCAGACAGAATCTAGTTCAATGGCAGAACGGGCTTGATAGATCAAGTGGCCTCTTCCTTTTGCTATATCTCTTAATTCTTTCATTATGAAAAAAAAAGAGGTTCTGCTCAACTCGTGTTCAATCTTAGTTCAGCCAGACTTGAGGTTAAAAATTCTGCACAAGACTAATTAATCATTCCAATCGGGAATTGGAAAGCAATCTCTTTATCTGGAAAGCACAAGGAGAATGGGGTACTCCCTCCCACCCACGGATTGTGATGAATTGAAAAGCGGGGAACTGGATAAACACGAGGGAAAAAGGAACAGAAGGAGATGGTGATGGGGTGAGATGAAGTGGGGGTAAAAGGGGCAGGAGGCTTGCGTGGCGTAGAAGCATAGGCACGGAGCACAGGGGATCAATCTGCTGCTGCCAGGATCACCTGTATCTGTTCCTCAGGAAGCTGAGTCTGCTTATGGATGCTGGATCTTCTGTCGCATTCCCACACCTTGAAAACAGGAAATTGTTAGAAAGCAAACTCAGGAGGAGCCTAAAAAAGTTCTCTCTTGCCTGAAAAACTCAACTCTACCCTGCCCATCAAATCCCACAATGCCTTTCCCCAGCCAGAAATGTAACTCTACAATATACTGCCTTCCACAACCTCAAGACTCCTCAAATTGTCTGTGACGATACTCTGGCTTTAAGAGATGTATTTTGTCCTGGGTTTTTTTTGGAACAGAGTTTTAAGGCAGAGGTACCAAGCTGTCTACTCAGAGCCAGTACAGTAAACAGTTTGAGAGGCCTTGAGATTTTTTTTTAAATGAGGTTGAACAATAGAAGCAGCTTGAATGGGTGGAGCAAGTTCCCACAGAACCAAGCCTTTTAGTTTTTCAGTCATGTTGTTGCTGGATCTTGAGGCTGGGTTTGGAAGCTGAAGTACATCTCTCCCTGCTACTCACTCTTTCAGAGTTTTCTCTTGATGTTTCTCCTCCTGCTGCTACAATTGCATGTGAGACAATTTACTGAATTTGCCATTTGCCAAGGGGGCGTTTATGGGATGTTACTATATTGGAACAGTTAATTAATAACACAGTTGGTTCTGCTGTAATATGATAGTTGCATTCCTGGACAACATCACGTTATAGAAAATTGCGCTACAGAATTAACAGGGCCTAAGGGAAAAGCAGGGTTAGAGGCAAGCCACCAAAAAATATCACTCAGAAGCCTAACACAAAGGACACCACAGTTTGAATAAATGTTTAATTCATATCCAATAATGAAATAAAAGTAAATTTAACACCTTACCTTGAAAAGGTGTCAAAATGACTTCAGAGATAGTAGGAACTGCAGATGCTGGAGAATCTGAGATAACAAAGTGTAGAGGCTGGATGAACACAGCAGGCCAAGCAGCATCAGAGGAGCAGGAAGGCTGACGTTTCAGGCCTAGACCCTTCTTCAGAAATGATGGTTTTGAGGTTGCTCTGTTGTTAATGCAGGGGCTGAGGCCCATCATCATCATCACTTTCAGGTGCAGTTGTGGTTGCAGGGTTAGGCCGAAAAATACTTCATCCAGAAGTGGATGCTTGTGGTTCACTGTCTTCTGACTGTTTCTTGGGGGTTGGCTTAAAAAAGACATCTAGTTTTTGCTGCTTTGCCCTTTGTCTTCTTTCATGAAGAAGCTGTTCATAGGGTGCCAAATAAGATCTTATTCCACGAACTGCTGCCCTGCTGCGTTCTGCATTGCAATCGTTGTCCTCTAAGGGCTGCAACCACTTCTCAATTTCCCTCACGATCATGTGATGCTGGCCCGGAGACTCTTTCGGCACTAACAATGCGCATGCTCAGGACAAAGCCCGCAAAACGATCATGTGACGTCGACATGTACTCCTCTGCGCACTGATGGAATTGCGTAGTAGCAAACGCAAGTTTGCATTTTAGAAATAGTGTTACCCTACTTGTCTGTCACGTTATAGCCAATTCACGTTGCCGGAACACGTTTTATAGCGGAATGACTGTAGTTGCTATTTAATAGTTAAATAATCTACTATACTATTAAGTTTTCCAATAGACTTAAGTTTTTCCCAATTTCTTTTTTCTTTTATTTTAACTATAGTGTACGAATAAAGTGTGTGTTTGCTTGAAATATGGTAGTTTGACCAATCGAATTACATCCAGAATGCAACACTTTACACTTACCTTGAAAATAAGAGAAGTTCAGGGTCTAGACTCTGTTCTGAATATTTTGACAGGGTTTGGTCTGGTCCATAACACGTCAAATAAACACTTTCTGAAAGGTGGACACTGTTGTAATGGAGGAAACATGGCAGCCAGCCAATTTACGCACATCAAACTCCCACTAATAGCAATCTGGGCCTAAAATCAAGCAACTCATCAACCACATTACCAGCATACAAGTCAAGGCCAGGATTTTTGCCCCAAAAAAAAGTCAGGGTCAAAAATGCCAATTTATTTGTTTATATTATGAAGATACATTATTTCCAGAAAAGTAAACATCACTTCAGAATATCATTTAGTGGACATATACTCATACCTTGGACTTTCAGGGTTTAAAAAAAAATTAAAATCTCTGTCAAAGTCTGCATGTGGTAAACACACTAGAAAATCTTTTCACAACTTAGTCTCTAAAAGAGGTTTTGAAATCTACATCTGTCTCCAGACAAGGGGAATTCTGCTAGCTATAACTGATCCACAAAGCCTCCCGAGGGTCAACAGCCTGTGTGTAAAGTGACTTTGGCTGTAGATCACTTTTGGACAATCTGAGAATAACCTTTTTTTCCTGACATTATGTGCTATCTAGTCATAGTACTTTTAGGATGACACTTAAGTTTTTGCATTTTCTTTCTCTCAGAGACTGATGCACATCAGTTTTTCAAGAGAACAGCTGCATTTACTTGCATAGTTTATACCCTTTACTAATTATCTTTGCATGTTTACTTTAGTAAGAATAAGAAAACTAGCTGACTTGTCTCTGGCACTGAGTCATACCTCCCTTCTTAAATTCAACCCTTGTGACAGTCAGTGGAGGAGTGGGGCACAGAAGGGAATACGCACACCCCTCCTAACTCAGACAAAACAATATTTGTTACGGACCAGACCAGATCCCTTCTCAAAATATTTTAAGAAGACTAGACGTTAACTTTTTCCTCGTTTTAAGGGCAAATATGAAGTGCCACGTTCCAGATGTGATGCAACTGGTCAAACTACTCGACATTAAGCCAAACACAATTCATACACTGGAGTTAAAATACAACCAAAGAAAGAGGAATTTAGAATAACCTAACTATAGGAAAATTTAACCGACTAACAGATACAGTACCTATTACAAATGAACTGTTCCAATATGGTAACAGCCCATAAATACACCCCTTGGCAAAAAGACAAATTCAAATAAACAGATTTGTCTCACAATGAACCCAGCAGTAGAGCGAAACCCCAGGTGTAACCAAGCAGGAGAAAAAAAGACAGCTGTAGCTTCTTCAACCCCACAACAGCAACTGCTCAAAGCAAAATATAACTAAAAGAAAACTAGAAATCCTGGTCTGTGAGAGCTGGCCACACCCATCCAAGCAGCTTCTATTGTTCCCAAAAAATCCCAAGGCCTTGCAAGCTATTTACTCAAGTAGTTTTGGTAGACTGCTCGGCACCTCAACATTACAACCTCTCTTCAAATAAAGGACAAAATGACCCCAAAGCCACAGCATCATCACATGCAGCATCGTCTTTCACAAGAAAACACCATTCTTCCCACCTAGACACATCCAGCCCTTCCCAACGTATTCACACAGATCAACAAAGAAAATGACTGAAATGACTACACTTGCAACGGCAGCAAAACCATTAAAAGCATATTGTACAAATAGGATGGGCACTCAGGGGGTCAAATACATCTATGTAAATCACCTCACTCTGCAGATGAAAGACCTCCGCGAACCCATGCACATTCTCATCGAGGACTGCTGTCCTTCTTTCTTTACAGTCCCGGTCTTCAAGTCCAAAATCCGACCTAGCCAAAATAGGAAATGAAATCAAATTTAACTGAGACTGAGGTGGTGTGAACTTCGCTTTCGCCTCAGATCACAGCTCATCCAAATCTCCGCTGCCCCCACCACCAACTCCTGTATCTAAATTCCAGTCAATTCCATTCAACCTTTGTGCCAGCTGCCCAACACCTGCCCCCAACCCCATCCACTTATGCCTCTGTTCCACAATTCTAATCCCCATTTTCAAATCTCTCTATCACCACCTCCCCGTTGGCATCCCTTCCCTGTTATGTCCTGCGGTCCTCACCACCACCTGCCATCTCCTCCAAAGCACTTGCGATTAATCGCTGTTCAATACAGTCAGAGGGGTCAATGCTGGACTGACATTTGTTCATGGTACATGACCATCTCACAGAAGTCACAGAATCCCTACGGTGTGGACGCAGGCCATTCGGTCCATCAAGCCCACACCAACCCTCCAAACAGCATTCCATCCAGACCCACCCACCCCATCCCCATAATCCTGCACTTCCCATGGCTAACTTACCTAGACTGCACATCCCTGGGCACTATGGGCAATTTAGCACGGCCAGTCCACCCTAACCTGCACATCTTTGGACTGTGGGAGGAAACCAGAGGGCTTGGAGGAAACCCACGCAGACAAAGGGAGAACGTGCAAACTTCACACAGCAGACAGTTGCCCCGAGGCTGGAATCAAACCCGGGTCTCTGGCCCTGTGAGGCAGCAATGCTAACCACTGAGCCACCGTGCCACCCCTTCTGTCAATACCAGCTAAGGCAGGTCAACCCCCGCAACAGAGTCAGAGTGTGCAACTTAAAACCCGAACGGTCTCCTCTACCTGTCATGGCGTTCTCAGAGGTGGAGAGCTGCTCCCGCAGCTTGTCCACGTCATCTGGATGGACCTGGTCATACAGGGTGCTGCCAAACCACTCAGTCTGGGGCTGGTTGAGGACTGGAGTGACAGAGTCAGACACGTAGATTATTTTGCCTGTCTCACAGGCCACCACAAAGAGGAAGCCGTCCGCTGCTTCTAAGATCAGGTGCTTCAGCTCCTTGGGTCACAAGAAAGAAAACACCATCAACTCCTTTGACCTCTGCAATATCCCTCCCCACGACTCTGCTGTTGTTAGTAGGTTTACCGGACCTAGTGTCAGCCAAGCCTCTGGGTGGCACTCTCAACTCTCCATCAACACCAATATCAAAGCCAACACTCTCAGGGTCAGCACCTCGAACGTCAGCACAGAGGAAGCAAAGCCACAGAAATACTGTGTCTGAGACAGCAGTTTGAAGGCTGGGAAGCCTGCTGCTAGTAACGCATCGCCTGACCTCTCCTCTTCTGACACCATACCTAAGAATTGGCTGACCCTCAGAAGACAAATGGTGGTAGTGGACGGAAAATATTCAACATGGTGCTCAGTTACGAGTGGTGTACCACAAGGTTCTGTCCTGGGTCCTCTTCTATTTGTGATTTTTGTAAATGATTTGGATGTAGGAGTGGAAGGGTGGATTAGTAAGTTCGCGGACGATACGAAGGTGGGTTGAGTTGTGGATAGTGCGGAGGGCCATTCTAGGTTACAAAGGGACATTGATAGGATGCAGAGCTGGGCTGAGAAGTGGCAGATGGAGTTTAACCCTGAAAAGAGTGAGGTGATTCATTTTGGAAGGACAAACTTGAAAGCAGGATACAGCGTTAACGGAAAGATTCTTGGCAGTGTGGAGGAGCAGATGGATCTTGGGGTTCATGTCCACAGTTCCCTGAAAGCTGCCGCCCAGGTGGATAGATCTGTTGAGACGGCGTATGGTGTGTTAGCTTTCATTAATAGAGGGATCGAGTTCAAGAGCCGGGAAGTTATGCTCCAGCTATACAAAAGCCTGGTTCGGCCACATCTGGAGTATTGTGTCTAGTTCTGGTCGCCTCATTACAAGAAAGATGCGGAAGCATTGGAAAAGGTGCAGAGGAGATTTACCAGGATGTTGTCTGGAATGAAGAGAAGGTCTTACGAGGAAAGGTTGAGAGGACTAAGGCTTTTCTCTTTAGAACGACGAAGAATGAGAGGTGACTTGATAGAGGTGTACAAAATGATCAGAGCTATAGATAGAGTGGACAGCCAGAGACTTTTTCCTAGGGTGGAGGTAGCTATTACAAGGGGGCATAGTTTTAAAGTGAGTGGAGGTAGATATAGGGGAGACATCAGAGTTAGGCTCTTTACTCAGAGAGTGGTAGGGGTGTGGAATGCATTGCCGGAGAGGGTAGTGGAGTCGGCCTCATTAGGGGCATTTAAGGAGCTATTAGATCCGCACATGGATGATAGTATAAGGTAGGGGTGGAGAGACAGACCTTAGGATTAGGGTAAAAGATCGGCACAACATCGTGGGCCGAAGGGCCTGTACTGTGCTGTACTGTTCTATGTTCTAAGCCTGTCCACCATTGAAAAGACACAAGTCAGGAGCATAATCAACTGCTCTTAACTCATCCTGGTAAGTGCGGCTCCAACATTCCAGACCATCCAAGACAACACAACCCATTTGAAGGGCATCACACCCACACATATCTGCAGCTAGCGTGTACCATCTCCACGTCACAGCTGTATCTCACCAAGGGACCATCAACACCACCTTCTAAACCCATAACATCTACCATCTAGAGGGACAAGTGGAGCAGACACATGAGAACATCAAGTTGCCCTCCAAGCCACACCCGGACTTGGAAATATATTTGGCTGTTCTATCAGTGTCGCTGGATCACCTTGCCAAGGGGCAATTAGGGATCAACGATACATGCCATCCTTGCCCACAATGCTAATCTTTCACAGAATGCCTACAAGTGTGGGAGCAGGCTATTCAGCCCATTGTGTCCACACCAACCCTCCGACAAGCACCCCATCCAGACACAGTCCGCTCTCCTATCCCTGTAACCCTGCATTTTCCCATGGCTAATTCACCTAGACTGCACATTCCTTGGCACTATGGTCAATTTAGCATGGCTAATCCACCCTAACGTGCACACCTTTGGACTGTGGGAGGAAACCAGAGCACCCATGCAGACATAGGGAGAACGTGCAAACTCCACACAGGCAGCTGCCCGAGGCTGCAATCGAACCTAGGTCCCTGGTGCTGTGAGGCAGCAGCGCTAACCAATGAGCCACCACAGCATCCCAAAAAAAATTGCATCTCAGCTTCCTATTCGGCCCATGTTAATGATCCACGAGCCCAGTGTCAAATTCCAAACCAGCTGATCAATGCTGCAAGTTTATTAACTTGCTCAGTCATCAAAAAACCCAAGTCCCTGCTATCAATTATGTTCAAACACCTTAACACCCACTGCCAGTTTCGCTTAAATCATAGCTATGACATTAAGAAACCATTGTGTTTTGTCAGTCACATCACCCCCTCCATCACTCACCTGGTCAGTCAGAAAGGATGGTTTATATGTTCCGTCAGCCGAAGTGTTACCCGTGCCCCGAAGTGACTTCATGTGAGACACTGCCATGCGCAGGATGGTCAGCTTGTCCGGCTTGCGGGCCAGGGCGCTGCAGGTCGGCACCATGTCTGACAGCTCTGTGATGTACGCTGTCATCTTGTTCCGCCGGCGCCGCTCAATCTCGCTGTGGTTCTCTCGGGGGGGTGGGGGTGGGGGTGGGGGGAGGAGGAGGAGGAACAATCAGCTTCCATCATAAACAAAGGGAAGAGTACATACTCACTGAGAAAGAAGATGATCCTATGTTTCCCATCACCTTGGGATGCCTCAAAGCGCTGTATGGCCAAAGAGGTTTGGCCACTGCTAGAACTGAGGCAGGACTATGCCAGCAGACCAATGTGACAATGGTCAAGACTGCATTCCTTTCACCAAGGCTACTTGAAGGAACCTCACTAGACCCCAGACAATGAGGTGAACTTTTGCCGGCCTGGATTTTAACTCCAGCATGTAGTGGCCCCAAGCAACATCTAAAGAACCATCTCCTTTCCCTTTATTCTGTGCACTTTCCCACGGCCATTGATTACGAAGGGGGATACCGTGCCCGCTCTCCCCATCCTGCTGGGAAAGCTGCTTTCTGAACCAGGTTGACCCACTCAATGAGGTTGTCTGACTGTTTGGGGCTCTGCCGATGCTTTGATGGGATTTGTCTGTAATAGGACAACGCCACAAGGATTGCTAAGAACTAACTCCACGAGTTGAACATTGTTACCTGGCAAATCTCTCTTTGTCATTGGGCCCTTGCTCTTCATCACACCTAGACAGAAAGATTAAGGGTTAATGTCTCATGCATCCACCACGATGGAGATTCACAGAATGTAGTACTATGGAAGTCTGCTCCCCTACCAGCCAATCCAACCTGCAACCCAACAGTCTCTCTTAATGAGTGTTTGGGACATTTAAACAGTGCATATGACCCCCAACATTAGTCACATGAATTATTTTACCAGTGGGGACAAAGAAGAATAGAGGGGGAAATGCAAGGAATGGGGTGGCATGGTAAGGGACAGAACAGGAAGAGGGGCATGATGGGCATGGTATGAGGGGGATAAAAGGAAACGAGGAGGACACAGTAGGGATGGTACTAAGGAGAATGGGATGGCAGAGGATAATGGTTTAAAAGAAAACAGTGCAGTAATAAAGACACTAAATCTCACCAGTCTTGATCGCAGCTTGTAAACGAGTAAGAAAGCAGAGTCACACGTACCTCGGAAACTTGCTGCTACCCTCCCCATCATCATCGTCATCAAAGTCGAGTCTAGAAAGGGATGAAGCACAAACAACTGGTAAACGAAAGATTGCACACACTGCACCAACACACTGAACAATAGCCTCCACAAAGGGGACCACGATGTAGAACATGAAAACCCCTTCTTGCATTGATGGAGAAGCTGTAGAGAGCAGAGAAGGGCAAGGCGAGATTTAAACAAAGAGTTTTAAATCGACGGTTTAACACCTTGTTTAGTAAAGAATTCCATAGGTCAACCCACCAGGCAGGAAAATCACTTGTATTAACTGTGTCTGGGAATGAATCTCATTGCCACCTTCAATCTCACATGGCATCTGTTACAAACTTGCCAAGGACCAACCAGTCACAAGATGCAACCCCAAGAAATATTCAAATTTTTAAAACCTCCAGCTCACCTCAGACAGAGATTCCCCAATAAACAGCTAATTTTAAAATTTTTCAGTAAAATAAGATGGGTATTCAACGCAAACTTCTGCTGCAGTACACAACATTCCCAAAGCCTGGCAATACTCTGCACCCATTCTTTCACTTGGATGCTAGGAGGCTTAGAAATGATTCTCAGGTATCTGTTATTCTGTATATAAACCAGCCCAAACCCCTCGATTAGATTCCAGTCTATAACTCACTCCCAGGTATCTGTTACTCTGTATATAAACCACCCCGAACCCCTCCATTAGATTCCAGTCTGTA